CTGGACAGTCCTATTATACCATACCATACGAGTATAATTCACTCGGTTTTAATTGCAATTAGCATAAACACTTGCCGTTCTTGCATTGTTAATTGAAACAAAGTTATGGTTATCTCATGCGATAAATCAAATGATAATAATTGATTAGTACAAAAACTGAATCACTACATTTATTTACAATACTATATGCCATTTATCTACAGCTTTATAAATACTCATAAATCTTTCATTTTGATTGTCATTGATTTGTTTTGGTGCCTAATTTATACATGTAGTTACAGTATAATTATATTTATTAATAAATTTATTCGCAAGTTCATTTTATTTATAATTTATATAACACTTGCTTATTTGTAATATTTATACTTTAGACTGACTAGTTAGATTATACAGCATTATATTGTAAATTTATTTTTTCATTATATTACAAAAGCACTTTATTACTCTAATAGCAAATATCAATATAAATACATAACTGTAAATAAATGAACATGTACAGTATATTACACGACAATAATTTTGATGCCCTAACTTAAGTGCAAATACTTTTACTTTCATGAATTAGTTTAACGTTAATTGAATACAAAAGTTATAACAAAAATGAACAAAATTAAAATATGTTATATTTTAATGCTTATTAGTATAGCATTATGTATATTATTATATTCACAAAGTCACCTCGACAACAGACATCCACTTCATTTCAAACATGGAATCAATTCCGATGAATACCGGGTCCTATTGTGGCACAAACGCTTCGGTTCAGACGACTGGTCCCGTCTAGATCTCAAGACATTGAACTGTAATTTTAGTAATTGTCTGCTCACTGAAGACAAGTCACAACTGGATTCAGTGGACGCCGTGTTCTTCCACTGGTGGGACATTAATCCATCCGATTTGCCACACAATCACATCCCCGGCCAGAAGTGGATCCTTTATAACTGGGAACCACCGGTCTATACACGGAAATTGAAGGGCAGAGCCATTGCTGACCAAATAGATTGGGTTATGAGTTATCGCACGGATTCAGACATATATGTGCCGTACGGGTCAGTCATCCCGTGTGATAATAAGTGGCAAAATGAGGATCTGTTTGATGGAAAGAATCGGAGTGTGGCGTGGATTGTGTCCAACTGTCACTCGGATGGCAACAGAGAGGAATATGTAAGGGAACTGGTTAAGTATATCGATATCGATATCTACGGAGGTTGTGGTCAATACCAGTGCCCGAGAGATGATTCTTGTCTTCAGATGATTGAAAAGAAATACAAATTTTATCTCTCATTTGAAAATTCTGTGAACTGGTTAAGTATATCGATATCGATATCTACGGAGGTTGTGGTCAATACCAGTGCCCGAGAGATGATTCTTGTCTTCAGATGATTGAAAAGAAATACAAATTTTATCTCTCATTTGAAAATTCTGTAAGTTTTGAGATTTTATCATAAGTTTGTATTTAATTGCAATTAATTATGGATTTGTTGGGAACAGCTCTGCAAAGACTATGTGACGGAGAAGTTGTTTCATATCGCACAATACAATATCATTCCCGTATGTCATGTCATGATATCTTTTGTTTCAAATATGTGTATTAATACTTGAATTGATGGACAGGTAGTGTACGGTTCGGCAAACTATTCGCAAATAATGCCAAAGAATTCATACATAAATACCGCTGATTTTGGTTCACCTCAAGAGTTGGCAAATCATCTGAAGGAGATCTCGAGTGATAAGCAAAAGTACAACTCGTATATGAATTGGAAGAATACTTATTGCTCTCAAATGACTTATTATAAGTACTTCTGTAGTGTTTGTCAAGAATTGAATGTCAATTCAAATGTGAATTCAACGAAACACTGGAATAAAGACGATCTGATTAACTGGTTCTATAGGGACGCCAATTGTCTCCATCCCACTAATTTTATCTCTCATTTGAAAATTCTGTAAGTTTTGAGATTTTATCATAAGTTTGTATTTAATTGCAATTAATTATGGATTTGTTGGGAACAGCTCTGCAAAGACTATGTGACGGAGAAGTTGTTTCGTATCGCAGAATACGATGTCATTCCCGTATGTCATGTCATGATATCTTTTGTTTCAAATATGTGTATTAATACTTGAATCGATGGACAGGTAGTGTACGGATCGGCGAACTATTCGCAAATAATGCCAAAGAATTCATACATAAATACCGCTGATTTTGGTTCACCTCAAGAGCTGGCGAACCATCTGAAGGAGATCTCGAGTGATAAGCAAATGTACAACTCGTATATGAATTGGAAGAATACTTATTGTTCAAAACAGACTCATTATAAGTACTTCTGTAGTGTTTGTCAAGAATTGAATGTCAATTCAAATGTGAATTCAACGAAACACTGGAATAAAGACGATCTGATTAACTGGTTCTATAGGGACGCCAATTGTCTCCATCCCACCAATGATTCATTTACTTCAGTGCCTTGATCAAATTGTATTTATTTATAAGAGATGAATATATAAATGTTTAATTGACTTGAAATCAAGCAATACATTCATTGTGCGCTTAATTTCTTATTTAAATGCAAACATTATTTAATACTTTTCCGACATTTCTTAACATCTTATAAGCCCTGAAGAAGGTCTCAATGAAAGCCGAAAAGGTTGACATCATTTATCATTTTACCGGTAGTTTCACTGAAAATAAACTTGAACAAAGTATTTGAAAAACAAGTTTGAGTGTTACGGTACTAGAAAACCATACTTACGGTTTTGGTTTTGAAAATATAATTTTTACTTTAAAGCTGCGGAATATTATTACAAATATCATCCAGTAGATAATTTTGTAATTTTATTGTTAAATTGGATTCAAAAATTCTATATATTGCTGAAATTCAACAAATTTTATCTACATATGACTTCACTAATGATTTGGACTGTATTTACCATAACTATAATTTCTCTATATTTTTATTGAAAACTGAAAACTAAACTAGCACTATTAATATTGGTCGTTTAAAAACTTCGTTTAAAAGTTTATAAAACTCTATACTTTTTGCTGTGAAATACACTCATTCATGGGATTGAAACTCTGACTCGTATAGAATGAGTAGTTTAATAGGCTTTTATAGCAAATATTTATAGCGCGTCGACCGATATAATCACAGATTTGGACACCAAGTACATTCCGCTAGATTACCGCACCTGGACAGTCCTATTATACCATACCATACGAGTATAATTCACTCGGTTTTAATTGCAATTAGCGTAAACACTTGCCGATCTTGCATTGTTAATTGAAACAAAGTTATGGTTATCTCATGCGATAAATGAAACGATAATAATTGATTAGTACAAAAACTGAATCACTACATTTATTTACAATACTACAGTGACGGTCATAAGTATTGCATCACGCATGTTTTTGACGCCAAATTAATCAGGCGACCAAAAAATTTACAATAAGTAGTCATAACATAAGGTATCACCTCAAAAAAGGTCCAGATCAATTTTGGTCAGCATAGATTTACCCGTTTGGCCGCTGTGACCAAAAGTAGAAAACGTCTTTTTGAACAGAGGGACAAAAGTATTGCATCGTAACGGTAAGGCGTGTTTATCTGGCCAGGGATTAACTCAATTGTCTCGGGAAGGCATAATTACATTTAAGTGACTCAATTAAAATGTAAAAATAATTTACACCAGCTGAATCGGACATCGGGGAAGCCTTGGGACGGGTATTTGTGACCAATGTTCGGGAGCCCGGGAAAGTGGCCACTTAGACAATTCTTATGTCTAAACCGCCCGAAACTAATTTAAATAACATAGTTTAATATCCTAATTGATAAAATTAACAAATTCTTAACCGGAACAGTCAATAAACCTCTCCCGATTATTGCCGAACTTACAAAATGGTGGCCAGACTTGGACTGCAACACTGGATTTGACCAAAATATATCGGAAAATATCCGCCAATGGTTACCTTAAGATATTGGATTAACGAAATTTGTATAAAAAATTTATTTTATCCGTAAATTGACCAGTTTTTAACTTACATGTACATTTCATAAAACCGGTAATGTTATTCCTATGAAAGGCTTCTTAAATGTACATGTAAGTTAAAAACTGGTCAATTTACGGATAAAATAAATTTTTTATACAAATTTCGTTAATCCAATATCTTAAGGTATATTTATATTATTAATATTATATTTATTAATAATCCGCAAGTTCATTTTATTTATAATTTATATAACACTTGCTTATTTGTAATATTTATACTTTAGACTGACTAGGTAGATTATACAGTATTATATTGTAAATGTATTTTATCATTATATTACAAAAGCACTTTATTACTTTATTAATAGCAAATATAAATACATAACTGTAAATAAATGAACATGTACAGTATATTACACCACAATAGTGTTGATGCCCTAACTTAAGTGCAATTACTTTCACTTTCATCAATTAGTTTAACGTTAATTGAATGCAAAAGTTATAACAGAAATGAACAAAATTAAAATATGTTATATTTTAATGCTTATTAGTATAGCATTATGTATATTATTATATTCACAAAGTCACCTCGACAACAGACATCCACTTCATTTCAGACATGGAATCAATTCCGATGAATACCGGGTCCTATTGTGGCACAAATACTTCGGTTCAGACGACTGGTCCCGTCTAGACCTCAAGACATTGAACTGTAATTTTAGTAATTGTCTGCTCACTGAAGACAAGTCACAACTGGATTCAGTGGACGCCGTGCTCTTCCACTGGTGGGACATTAATCCATCCGATTTGCCACACAATCACATCCCCGGCCAGAAGTGGATCCTTTATAACTGGGAACCACCGGTCTTTACACCGGAATTGAAGGGCAGAGCCATTGCTGACCAAATAGATTGGGTTATGAGTTATCGCACGGATTCAGACATATATGTGCCGTACGGGTCAGTCATCCCATGTGATAATAAGTGGCAAAATGAGGATCTGTTTGATGGAAAGAATCGGAGTGTGGCGTGGATTGTGTCCAACTGTCACTCGGATAGTAAAAGAGAGGAATATGTCAAAGAACTGGTTAAGTATATCGATATCGATATCTACGGAGGTTGTGGTCAATACCAGTGCCCGAGAGATGATTCTTGTCTTCAGATGATTGAAAAGAAATACAAATTTTATCTCTCATTTGAAAATTCTG